GGAATCTGGAATATGAACATAGTGGCATTCAGTTAGAATGCGTTCATTCCTAAGTATAGCAGATATAAGCTATAAGGTTGGATTCCTTTTAACCTTCTGTGGTGTAGTGGTAGCGCCTTGACTTAGTAATCATAAGTCCTAGGTTCGAGTCCCGGTCGGGGTAAAAAATGATTCATGTTTTCACATATGTAATGTGCTTATTTGATCATTTCATGGCCTGAATGAGACTGGGAATTGAATTAAATGCTAAAATGAAGCCACGAGTGAGGTTGGGGAATTTGTAATATGAACATAGTGGCATTCAGTTAGAATGCGTTCATTCCTAAGTATAGCAGATATAAGCTATAAGGTTGGATTCCTTTTAACCTTCTGTGGTGTAGTGGTGTTGCCTTGACTTAGTAATGATAAGTCCTAGGTTCGAGTCCCGGTCGGGGTAAAAAATGATTCATGTTTTCACATATGTAATGTGCTTATATGATCATTTCATGGCCCGAATGAGATAGGGAATTGAATTAAATGCTAAAATGAAGCCACAAGTGAGGTTGGGAAGTCTGTAATATGAACATAGTGGCATTCAGTTAGAATGCTTTCATTCCTAAGTATAGCAGATATAAGCTATAAGGTTGGATTCCTTTTAACCTTCTGTGGTGTAGTGGTAGCGCCTTGACTTAGTAGTCATAAGTCCTATGTTCGAGTCCCGGTCGGGGTAAAAAATGATTCATGTTTTCACATATATAATATGCTTATTTGATTATTTCATGGCCCGAATGAGATTGGGAATTGAATTAAATGCTAAAATGAAGCCACGAGTGAGGTTGGGGAATCTGTAATATGTACATAGTGGCATTCAGTTAGAATGCGTTCATTACTAAGGTTAGCAGATATAAGCTATAAGGTTGGATTCCTTTTAACCTTCTGTGGTGTGGTGGTAGCACCTTGACTAAGTAATCATAAGTCCTAGGATCGAGTCTCGGTCAGGATAAAAAATGATTCATGTTTTCACATATATAATGCGTTTATTTAATCATTTCATGGCCCGAATGAGATTGGGAATTGAATTAAATGCTAAAATGAAGCCACGAGTGAGGCTGGGAATCTGTAATATGAACATAGTGGCATTCAGTTAGAATGCATTCATTCCTAAGTATAGCAGATATAAGCTATAAGGTTGGATTCCTTTTAACCTTCTGTGGTGTAGTGGTAGCGCCTTGACTCAGTAATCATAAGTCCTATGTTCGAGACCCGGTCGGGGTAAAAAATGATTCATGTTTTCACATATGTAACGTGCTTATTTGATAATTTTCATGTCCCGAATGAGATTGGGAATTTAATTAAATGCTAAAATGAAGCCACGAGTGAGGTTGGGGAATCTGTAATATGAACCTAGTGGCATTCAGTTAGAATGCGTTCATTCCTAAGTATAGCAGATATAAGCTATAAGGTTGGATTCCTTTTAACCTTTTGTGGTGTAGTGGTAGCCCCTTGAATTAGTAATCATATGTCCTAGGTTTGAGCCCCGGTCAGGGTGAAAAATGATTCATGTTTTCACATATGTAATGTGCTTATTTAAAAATTTCCTGGCCCGAATGAGATTGGGAATTGAATTAAATGCTAAAATGAAGCCACGAGTGAGGTTGGGGAAGCTGTAATATGACATAATGGCATTCAGTTAGAATGCGTTTATTCCTAAGTATAGCAGATATAAGCTATAAGGTTGTATTTCTTTTAACCTTCTGTGGTGTAGTGGTAGCGCCTTGACTTAGTAATCATAAGTCCTAGGTTCGAGTCCCGGTCGGGGTAAAAATTGATTCATGTTTTCACATATGTAATGTGCTTATTTGATCATTTCATGGCGCGAATGAGATAGGGAATTGAATTAAATGCTAAAATGAAGCCACGAGTGAGGTTGGGGAATCTGTAATATGAACATAGTGGCATTCAGTTAGAATGCGTTCATTCCTAAGTATAGCAGATATAAGCTATAATGTTGAATTCCTTTTAACATTCTGTGGTGTAGTGGTAGCGCCTTGACTTAGTAATCATAAGTCCTAGGTTCGAGTCCCGGTCGGGGTAAAAAATGATACATGTTTTCACATATGTAATGTGCTTATTTGATAATTTCATGGCCCGAATGAGATTGGGAATTGAATTAAATGCTAAAATGAAGCCACGAGTGAGGTTGGGGAATCTGTAATATGAACATAGTGGCATTCAGTTAGAATGCATTCATTCCTAAGTATAGCAGATATAAACAATAAGGTTGGATTCCTTTTAACCTTCTGTGGTGTAGTGGTAGCGCCTTGACTTAGTAGTCATAAGTCCTAGGTTCGAGTCCCGGTCGGTGTAAAAAATGATTCATGTTTTCACATATATAATGTGCTTATTTATTAATTTCATGGCCCGAATGAGATTGGGAATTGAATTAAATGCTAAAATAAAGCCACGAGTGAGGTTGGGGAATCTGGAATATGAACATAGTGGCATTCAGTTAAAATGTGTTCATTCCTAAGAATAGCAGATATAAGCTATAATGTTGAATTCCTTTTAACCTTCTGTGGTGTAGTGGTAGCGCCTTGACTTAGTAATCATAAGTTCTAGGTTCGTGCCCCGGTTGGGATAAAAAATGATTCATGTTTTCACATATGTAATGTGCTTATTTGATCATTTCATGGCCCGAATGAGATTGGGAATTGAATTAAATGCTAAAATGAAGCCACGGGTGAGGTTGGGGAATCTTTAATATGAACATAGTGGCATTCAGTTAGAATGCGTTCATTCCTAAGTATAGCAGATATAAGCTATAAGGTTGGATTCCTTTTAACCTTCTGTGGTGTAGTGGTAGAGCCTTGACTTAGTAGTCATAAGTCCTAGGTTCGAGTCACGGTCGGTGTAAGAAATGATTCATGTTTTCACATATATAATGTGCTTATTTATTAATTTCATGGCCCGAATGAGATTGGGAATTGAATTAAACGCTAAAATGAAGCCACGAGTGAGGTTGGGGAATCTGTAATATGAACATAGTGGCATTCAGTTAGAATGCATTCATTCCTAAGTATGGCAGATATAAGCTATAAGGTTGGATTCCTATTAACCTTCTGTGATGTAGTGGTAGCACCTTGACTTAGTAATCATAAGTCCTAGCTTCGAGTCCCAGTCGGGGTAAAAAATGATTCATGTTTCCACATATGTAATGTGTTTATCTGATAATTTCATGGCCCGAATGAGATTGGGAATTGAATTAAATGCTAAAGTTAAGCCACGAGTGAGGTTGGGGAATCTGTAATATGAACATAGTGGCATTCAGTTAGAATGCGTTCATTCCTAAGTATAGCAGATATAAGCTATAAGGTTGGATTCCTTTTAACCTTCTGTGGTGTAGAGGTAGCGACTTGACTTAGTAATCATAAGTCCTATGTTCGAGTCCCAGTCAGGGTAAAAAATGATTCATGTTTTCACATATGTAATGTGCTTATATGATCATTTCATGGCCCGAATGAGATAGGGAATTGAATTAAATGCTAAAATGAAGCCACGAGTGAGGTTGGGGAATCTGTAATATGAACATAGTAGCATTCAGTTAGAATGCATTCATTCCTAAGTATAGCAGATATAAGCTATAAGGTTGGATTCCTTTTAGCCTTCTGTGGTGTAGTGGTAGCGCCTTGACTTAGTAATCATAAGTCCTAGGTTCGAGTCCCGGTCGGGGTAAAAAATGATTCATGTTTTCACATATGTAATGTGCTTATTTGATAATTGCATGGCCCGAATGAGATTGGGAATTGAATTAAATGCTAAAATGAAGCCACGAGTAAGGTTGGGGAATCTGTAATATGAACATAGTGGCATTCAGTTAGAATGCGTTCATTACTAAGGTTAGCAGATATAAGCTATAAGGTTGGATTCCTTTTAATCTTCTGTGGTGTAGTGGTAGCACCTTTACTATGTAATCATAATTCCTAGGTTCGAGTTTCGGTCGCGGTAAAAAATGATTCATGTTTTCACATATGTCATGTGCTTATTTGATCATTTCATGTCCTGAATGAGATTGGGAATTGAATTAAATGCTAAAATGAAGCCACGAGTGAGGTTGGGGAATCTGTAATATGAACATAGTGGCATTCAGTTAGAATGCGTTCATTCCTAAGTATAGCAGATATAAGCTATAAGGTTGGATTCCTTTTAACCTTCTGTGGTGTAGTGGTAGCGCCTTTACTCAGTAATCATAAGTCCTAGGTTCGAGACCCGGTCGGGGTAAAAATGATTCATGTTTTCACATATGTAACGTGCTTATTTGATCATTTTCATGGCCCGAATGAGATTGGGAATTTAATTAAATGCTAAAATGAAGCCACGAGTGAGGTTGGGGAATCTGTAATATGAACATAGTGGCATTCAGTTAGAATGCATTCATTCCTAAGTATAGCAGATATAAGCTATAAGGTTGGATTCCTTTTAACCTTCTGTGGTGTAGTAGTAGCGCCTTGACTTAATAATCATAAGTCCTAGGTTCGAATCATGGTCGGGTTAAAAAATGATTTATGTTTTCACATATGTAATGTCCTTATCTGATAATTTCTTGGCCCGAATGAGATTGGGAATTTAATTAAATGCTAAAATGAAGCCACGAGTGAGGTTGGGGAATCTGTAATATGAACATAGTGGCATTCAGTTAGAATGCGTTCATTAATAAGTATAGCAGATATAAGCTATAAGGTTGGATTACTTTTAACCTTTTGTGGTGTAGTGGTAGCGCCTTGACTTAGTAATCATAAGTCCTAGGTTCTAATCCCGGTCGGGTTAAAAAATGATTCATGTTTTCACATATGTAATGTGCTTATTTGATAATTTCATGGCCCGATTGAGATTGGGAATTGAATAAAATGCAAAAATGAAGCCACGAGTGAGGTTGGGGAATCTGTAATATGAACGTAGTGGCATTAAATTCGAATGCGTTCAATCCTAAGTATAGCAGATATAAGCTATAAGGTTGGATTCCTTTTAACCTTCTGTGGTGTAGTGGTAGCGCCTTGACTTAGTAATCAAAAGTCCTAGGTTCGAGTCCCGGTCGGGTTAAAAAATGATTCATGTTTTCACATATGTAATGTGCTTATTTGATAATTTCATGGCCCGAATGAGATTGGGAATTGAATTAAATGCTAAAATAAAGCCACGAGTGAGGCTGGGAATCTTTAATATGAACATAGTGGCATTCAGTTAGAATGCGTTCATTCCTAAGTATAGCAGATATAAGCTATAAGGTTGGATTCCTTTTAACCTTCTGTGGTGTAGTGGTAGCGCCTTGACTCAGTAATCATAAGTCCTAGGTTCGAGACCCGGTCGGGATAAAAAATTATTCATGTTTTCACATATGTAACGTGCTTATTTGATATTTTCATGGCCCGAATGAGATTGGGAATTGAATTAAATGCTAAAATGAAGCCACGAGTGAGGTTGGGGAATCTGTAATATGAACATAGTGGCATTCAGTTAGAATGCGTTCATTCCTAAGTATAGCAGATATAAGCTATAAGGTTGGATTCCTTTTAACCTTTTGTGGTGTAGTGGTAGCGCCATGACTTAGTAATCATAAGTCCTAGGTTCGAGTCCCAGTCGGGGTAAAAAATGATTCATGTTTTCACATATGTAATGTGCTTATTTGATCATTTCATGGCCTGAATGAGATAGGGAATTGAATTAAATGCTAAAATGAAGCCACGAGTGAGGTTGGGGAATCTGTAATATGAACATAGTGGCATTCAGTTAGAATGCGTTCATTCCTAAGTATAGCAGATATAAGCTATAAGGTTGGATTCCTTTTAACCTTTTGTGGTGTAGTGGTGTTGCCTTGACTTAGTAATCATAAGTCATAGGTTCGAGTCTCGGTCGGGGTAAAAAATGATTGATGATTTCACATATGTAATGTGCTTATCTGATAATTTCATGGCCCGAATGAGATTGGGAATTGAATTAAATGCTAAAATGAAGCCACGAGTGAGGTTGGGGAATCTGTAATATGAACATAGTGGCATTCAGTTAGAATGCATTCATTCCTAAGTATAGCAACTATAAGCTATAAGGTTGGATTCCTTTTAACCTTCTGTGGTGTAGTGGTAGTGCCTTGACTTAGTAATCATAAGTCCTAGGTTCGAGACCCGGTCGGGGTAAAAAATGATTCATGTTTTCACATATGTAATGTGCTTATTTGATCATTTCATGGCCCGAATGAGATTGGGAATTGAATTAAATGCTAAAATGAAGCCACGAGTGAAGTTGGGGAATCTCTAATATGAACATAGTGGCATTCAGTTAGAATGCGTTCATTCCTAAGTATAGCAGATATAAGCTATAAGGTTGGATTCCTTTTAACCTTCTGTGGTGTAGTGGTAGCGCCTTTACTTAGTAATGATAAGTCCTAGGTTCGAGTCCCGGTCGGGCTAAAAAATGATTCATGTTTTCACATATGTAATGTGCTTATATGATCATTTCATGGCCCGAATGAGATAGGGAATTGAATTAAATGCTAAAATGAAGCCACAAATGAGGTTGGGGAGTCTGTAATATGAACATAGTGGCATTCAGTTAGAATGCGTTCATTCCAAAGTATAGCAGATATAAGCTATAAAGTTGGATTCCTTTTAACCTTCTGTGGTGTAGTGGTAGCGCCTTGACTTAGTAATCATAAGTCCTAGCTTCGAGTCCCGGTCGGGTTAAAAAATGATTCATGTTTTCACATATGTAATGTGCTTATTTGATAATTTCATGGCCCGAATGAGATTGGGAATTGAATTAAATGCTAAAATGAAGCCACGAGTGAGGCTGGGAATCTTTAATATGAACATAGTGGCATTCAGTTAGAATGCGTTCATTCCTAAGTATAGCAGATATAAGCTATAAGGCTGGACTCCTTTTAACCTTCTGTGGTGTAGTGGTAGCGCCTTGACTCAGTAATCATAAGTCCTAGGTTCGAGACCCTTTCGGGATAAAAAATTATTCATGTTTTCACATATGTAACGTGCTTATTTGATATTTTCATGGCCCGAATGAGATTGGGAATTTAATTAAATGCTAAAATGAAGCCACGAGTGAGGTTGGGGAATCTGTAATATGAACATAGTGGCATTCAGTTAGAATGCGTTCATTCCTAAGTATAGCAGATATAAGCTATAAGGTTGGATTCCTTTTAAACTTTTGTGGTGTAGTGGTAGCGCCATGACTTAGTAATCATAAGTCCTAGGTTCGAGTCCCAGTCGGGGTAAAAAATGATTCATGTTTTCACATATGTAATGTGCTTATTTGATCATTTCATGGCCTGAATGAGATAGGGAATTGAATTAAATGCTAAAATGAAGCCACGAGTGAGGTTGGGGAATCTGTAATATGAACATAGTGGCATTCAGTTAGAATGCGTTCATTCCTAAGTATAGCAGATATAAGCTATAAGGTTGGATTCCTTTTAACCTTTTGTGGTGTAGTGGTGTTGCCTTGACTTAGTAATCATAAGTCATAGGTTCGAGTCTCGGTCGGGGTAAAAAATGATTGATGATTTCACATATGTAATGTGCTTATCTGATAATTTCATGGCCCGAATGAGATTGGGAATTGAATTAAATGCTAAAATGAAGCCACGAGTGAGGTTGGGGAATCTGTAATATGAACATAGTGGCATTCAGTTAGAATGCATTCATTCCTAAGTATAGCAACTATAAGCTATAAGGTTGGATTCCTTTTAACCTTCTGTGGTGTAGTGGTAGTGCCTTGACTTAGTAATCATAAGTCCTAGGTTCGAGTCTCGGTCGGGGTAAAAAATGATTCATGTTTTCACATATGTAATGTGCTTATTTGATCATTTCATGGCCCGATTCAGATTGGGAATTGAATTAAATGCTAAAATGAAGCCACGAGTGAAGTTGGGGAATCTCTAATATGAACATAGTGGCATTCAGTTAGAATGCGTTCATTCCTAAGTATAGCAGATATAAGCTATAAGGTTGGATTCCTTTTAACCTTCTGTGGTGTAGTGGTAGCGCCTTTACTTAGTAATGATAAGTCCTAGGTTCGAGTCCCGGTCGGGCTAAAAAATGATTCATGTTTTCACATATGTAATGTGCTTATATGATCATTTCATGGCCCGAATGAGATAGGGAATTGAATTAAATGCTAAAATGAAGCCACAAGTGAGGTTGGGGAGTCTGTAATATGAACATAGTGGCATTCAGTTAGAATGCGTTCATTCCAAAGTATAGCAGATATAAGCTATAAGGTTGGATTCCTTTTAACCTTCTGTGGTGTAGTGGTAGCGCCTTGACTTAGTAATCATAAGTCCTAGGTTCGAGTCTAGGTCGGGGTAAAAAATGATTCATGTTTTCACATTTGTAATGTGCTTATTTGATCATTTCATGTCCCGAATGAGATTGGGAATTGAATTAAATGCTAAAATGAAGCCACGAGTGAGGTTGGGGAATCTGTAATAGGAAAATAGTATCATTCAGTTAGAATGCTTTCATTCCTAAGTATAGAAGATATAAGCTATAAGGTTGGATTCCTTTTAACCTTCTGTGGTGTAGTGGTAGCGCCTTGACTTAGTAATCATAAGTCTTAGTTTTGAGTCCATGTCAGGGTAAAAAATGATTCATGTTTTCACATATGTAATGTGCTTATCTGATACTTTCCTGGCCCGAATGAGATTGGGAATTGAATTAAATGCTAAAATGAAGCCACGAGTGAGGTTGGGGAATCTGTAATATGTACATAGTGGCATTCAGTTAAAATGCGTTCATTCCTAAGTATAGCAGATATAAGCTATAAGGTTGGATTCCTATTAACCTTCTGTGGTGTAGTGGTAGCGCCTTGACTTAGTAATCATAAGTCCTAGTTTCGAGTCCCGGTTGGGGTAAAAAATGATTCATGTTTTCACATATGTAATGTGCTTATCTGATAATTTCATGGCCCGAATGAGATTGGGAATTGAATTAAATGCTAAAATGAAGCCACGAGTGAGGTTGGGGAATCTGTAATATGAACATAGTGGCATTCAGTTAGAATGCATTCATTCCTAAGTATAGCAGATATAAGCTATAAGGTTGGATTCCTTTTAACCTTCTGTGGTGTAGTGGTAGCGACTTGACTTAGTAATCATAAGTCCTAAGTTCGAGTCCCAGTCGGGGTAAAAAATGATTCATGTTTTCACATATGTAATGTGCTTATCTGATAATTTCATGGCCCGAATGAGATTGGGAATTGAATTAAATGCTAAAATGAAGCCACGAGTGAGGTTGGGGAATCTGTAATATGAACATAGTGGCATTCAGTTAGAATGCATTCATTCCTAAGTATAGCAGATATAAACAATAAGGGTGGATTCCTTTTAACCTTCTGTGGTGTAGTGTTAGCGCCTTGACTTAGTAATCATAAGTCCTAGGTTCGAGTCCCGGTCGGGTTAAAAAATGATACATGTTTTCACATATGTAATGTGCTTATCTGATAATTTCATGGACCGAATGAGACTGGGAATTGAATTAAATGCTAAAATGAAGCCACGGGTGAGGTTGGGGAATCTGTAATGTGAACATAGTCTCATTCAGTTAGAATTCGTTCATTCCTAAGTATAGCAGAAATAAGCTGTAAGGTTGGATTCCTTTTAACCTTCTGTGGTGTAGTGGTAGCGCCTTGACTTAGTAATCATAAGTCCTAGGTTCGTGCCCCGGTTGGGGTAAAAAATGATTCATGTTTTCACATATGTAATGTGCTTATTTGATCATTTCATGGCCCGAATGAGATTGGGAATTGAATTAAATGCTAAAATGAAGCCACGAGTGAGGTTGGGGAATCTGTAATATGAACATAGTGGCATTCAGTTAGAATGCGTTCATTAATAAGTATAGCAGATATAAGCTATAAGGTTGGATTCCTTTTAACCTTCTGTGGTGTAGTGGTAGCGCCTTGACTTAGTAGTCATAAGTCCTAGGTTCGAGTCCCGGTCGGTGTAAAAAATGATTCATGTTTTCACATATGTAATGTGCTTATCTGATAATTTCATGGCCTGAATGAGGTTGGGAATTGAATTAAATGCTAAAGTT